TGAGGAAGATATAACAACCACAATTTTTTTTGAAGTTCTTACAACAAGAAAATGGAGGGGACACACTTGGGTGGGAGGGGGGAGAGAGAGGAGGGAGGGAGGATTCGGTGATGGGACACAATAATCAACTACATTGTATATTGACAAAATTAAAAAAAAAAAGAATCAGGGGACAGGAGAACACTGAGTTTTTATTGGGATTTTGGCAACAAATATTTGACTCACTCTCTCTTTCTCTCTCTATATAAAATGTATACATAACTTAAAATGTAAATTATATATATAATTTTTGGTATATATAACTGTTAAAAAGAAAATACATATATATCTGTTTTAAAAATATTGTGACACATTCTGTTTACTAAGTTACTATCTATTTTTTAAATTCTCCTTTATTATTCAACTATATGTAAATTACAGAAATGTTTCATTAGATATTAACCATTATATTTGAAAAATATAGAAGAATCTGCTTTCATTAAATTACTAGTACATTTAAGTCTGTGTTAAAATTTTCTTAGCATACACAAGTGCTAATTCCAAGTATTCTTGGCCAATTTCGTTTCCTAACACTGGTGGTAGTATAAAGTACTCACCAGATCTAGTGGACTGAGACGTGTGCCAGAGATAGGCCTGGAATCGGATGACTCAAAACTGGACGCATGCAGGCTAGCATAAGAGATGGTGCAGAGTATTAATTTGTGAAAAATCATTTCTTTTATTTCTAGTATGTTAGTTAACTCTAGCTGAAAAACAAGTAAAAGCATCTAATGCATAAGCCTTGAGGAAAAAGCAATTTTAAAATGTTACAGTACTTAAAGCATTTTATTAACAAGTCTTTTTACCACTTTTAGGAAGATTAAAAAATATTGAATAATGAAAAGAAAAAGTGCATACAGTGATTTTTTTTTTTTTGAAGCTTTGTTCATATCACTTTATAAAGTTGGTATGATAACCACAATTAGAAAAGTGCATACAGTGATTTTTTTTTTTTTTTTGAAGCTTTGTTCATATCACTTTATAAAGTTGGTATGATAACCACAATTAACCATTTCATTCCTAAGTAGCTTCCTGGACCCAAGGTCTGGAATTATCTTTAGGAATCTTGAACAAAAGTCAAACTTAAGAAAACAACTATCTTGAACCTAAATTAAAGTCATGCATCACACCAACAAGCTAAAGAAGAAAAATCACATCAATAGATCATGTTAATAGATGCAGAAAAAGCATTTGATAGTATCCAAAACCCTTTCATGGTAAAAACTGTCAGTAAACTAGGAACAGAAGGAAACCTCTTCAACCTGATAAATAATATCTACAAAAAACCTACAGCTAATATCATACTTTATGATGAAAAACTTAAAACTTTCCCACTAAGATCAGAAACAAGCAAGGGTGTCTCTTCTCACCACTGCTTTTGAACATTAAAGTGGAAGACTTAGCTAATGCAAAAAGACAAGAAAAGGAAATACGAAGCATACAGATTGAGAAGGAAGAAACAAAACTGTCTTTGTTCACAGATGACATGATCATCTATGTAGAAAATCTGAAAATAATGAACAAAAAACTCCTGAAACTAATAAGTGATTATAGCAGGCTTGCAGGACACAAGGTTAATACAAAAAAGTCAGTCGCTTTCCTATATACCAGCAATGAACAAGTGGAAACTGAACTGAAAACACAATAACATTAATATTAGCACTCCCCAAAATGAAATACTTAGGTATGAATACAGTAAAACGTGTGCAAGACCTATATGAGGAAAACTAAAAAACTAGATGGAAGAAATCAAAGAACTAAATAAACGAAGAGATATCCCATGCTCATGGATAGGAAGACAATACTGTCAAGATCTCAGTTCTTCCCAACTTTACCTGTTGATTCATTTTGATCTTAATCAAAATCCCAGCAAGTGATTTTATAGATATTGATAAACTGATTCTATAGTTTATATGGAAAGGCAAAAGACCCCAAACACCTAACACAATAATGAAGGAAAAGAACAAATTTGGAGTACTGACACTACTTGACTTCAAGACATACTGTAAAGCTCCAGTAATCAAGGTAGTGTAGTAGTAGTGAGAGAACAGACAAATGGACCAATGGAACAGAATAGAGAGCCCAGAAATAGATCCACATAAATACATCCAACTGATCTTTGACAAAGAAGCAAAGGCAACACAATGGAGAAGAGGTAGTGTTTTCAACAAATAATGCTGGGACAACTGGAAATCTACATGCAAAAAACAAAAAAAAATCTAGACACAAACTTTATACCCTTCACAAAATTTAGCTAAAAAAGGAAGTACAGGCCCAAACATAAAACAAAAAACTATAAAATACCTACAGAAAGTCTATATGACCTTAGGTATGATAATGACTTTTTATATACAACACAAAGGCATGATCCGTGAAAGAAATAATTGATAAGCTATACTTTATTAAAATTAAAATTTCCTGCTCTGCAAAAGACACTGTCAAGAGAATAAGAAAAGTCACAGACTGGGAGAAAATATTTGCAAAAGACATATAAGATAAAGGATTGTTAGCCAAAATACACAAAGACTTCTTAAAACTCCACAATAAGAACATAAACAATCTGATTAAACAATGAGCCACAGACCTTAACAGACACCTGAGCAAAGAAGACATAAAGATGGCAAATAAGCATATGAAAAGATGCTCCATATCATATGTCATAAGAGAAATATAAGACAACAAGATACCACTACACACCTATTAGAATGGCAAAAATCCAGAACATTGACAATAGCAAATGCTGGTTATGATGTGGAGCAATAGGAACTCTCATTCATTGCTGGTGGAAATATAGAATGGTACAGCCACCTTGGAAGACAGTTTGGTGGTTTCTTACAAAACTAAACCTACTCTTACAATATGATACAGCATTGTACTCCTTGGTATTTACCCAAAGGAGCTGAAAACATGTCCACACAAAATCTTGCACTTGAATGTTTATAGCAGCTTTATTTATGATTGCCAAAACGTGGAAGCAACTGAGATGTCCTTCAGTAGGTGAATGAATAAATAAGTTGTGGTACATCCAGACAATGGAATATTCTTTAATGCTGAAAAGAAATGAGCTAACAAGCCATGAAAATTCATGGAGGAAACTTAAAAGTAATTACTAAATGAAAGAAGCCAGTCTGAAAAGGCTACATACTGTATGACGTTCTAGAAAAGGCAAAACTATGGAGACAGTAAAAGGATAAGTGGTTGCCAGAAGTTGGGGGAAGGGAGGGACGAACAGGCAGAGCAAAGGATTTTTAGGGCAGTGAAACTACTCTGTACAATACTGTAACAGTGGATACACGTCATTATAAACTTGTCCAAACACATAAAATGTCCAACACCAAAAGACAACCGTAACGTAAACTATGGAGTTTGGGTGATAATGATGTGTCAATACAGGTTCATCAGCTGTAACAAATGTACCACTCTGGTGGGTGATGTTGATAATGGGGGAGGTACGCATGTGTGGGGGCAGGAGGTACATGGGAAATTTCTGTCTCTTCCACTCAATTTTGCTATGAACCTAAAACTGCTCTGAAAAATAAAGCCTATTTTAAAAAACCCCAACTATCCATAACTACAATTAAGGAAAACTGTAATCTGGTGGCTTAAATATCTGAGTGTACATGAAAGCGAAATGTCAATATACCTGAAGGAGGAAGGAGGTCTATTTTCTGGTGTTCTTGAAGATGTGGGTCCAAACAGATTTCTTTGGTCTTCCCGTGGTGTAAATGGTCTTTGGGTTCTAACTGTTCTTAATGCATTTCGTGCTTCACTTATGATTTCCGCACTGGTCTTCTGCTTGGACAGTGAAGGTTGATAAAACAGATCCAGTCTTTCTAATTTTTTATCATTCGGAGATAGCATCTTTCCTTTTAAAGGAAAATGTTCTTCAGATAGACACCATATCCTGAAAATATATGGTACAAAACACTTCAACTGTTTTTAGTCAATACTTTAGAAAAGAATGCTTAACCCCATCCATATATTAAAACATTCCTCTATATTAAGCTTGGAAAAAAATCATAAATAATTTTAATTTTTAATTAAAAGTTAGAAGGTTAGGACAGGAAAACAGCTTTCAAAAATATAGGCTGCATAGTTGTGCCTATATGCAATTGAGGGAAAAGATGTGCAGGGAGGAAAGCCAGGATGAGAGCTACACCTGGGGAGAAGAAAATAAATCATGAAAGAAGACAGAACAGGAATAGAGAAACATCTCATATTCCTCCACCTACAAAAAAACACTGGGGGTTCTATTAGAATTTTTAACTAGTTTCCTTTTCTTCCCCACTGCCCTCCACCCAAAATGCTAATAAGGTTACATTTTAGACAGGTGGGGCCTATTTCCAAAGAACCTTTACTTTTACAACAAACCTCAGAGAATGGTTCAGCCCCACATTTGTCCATGATATACTTGAATGAACTGATTCAAATCTCCTTCTATTTGAGACAGTGTCCTGGATGAACAAATACCAAATATCAATACCAAATGATGCTTTCCTAAGCCCTCTACCTCAATTGAAGAGTTAAAATCAAGTACACGGGCATGAGAATGTTTGTGTGTCCCATGGAGACAAATCTAAACTTTAAAATACTACAGATTTTTAAAAACTTAATTCTAATTAGTATATAGTATTAAGTGTTCATTCTTTAAAATAAACTCTAACCCCATAAAAATGTCATATCTCTAGAGAGACAGAGCTCTATAAATTATTCACATATTCCAGCTGCCCAATTTTAGAATAACTTCTGCAAAAAAATTGTTTTGTGGCAATATGCCCAGGGAAACTAAAATGATTCCATTTGCACAAGTGACTCCCTAGACAAATAAAGATTTACTATATTATGATGCTATATATTAAGTTGTTATATAACAATAGAAAACAAGAACATTTGTTTAGTTACCCAGGCCCCACCCCAAGAGTTTCTGAGGAAAAGAATAAGATGAAAACTACAAGGAAGGGCCGGCCCGGTGTTGTGCGCCTCCTGCCGTGGGTTCAGATCCCATGTGGAGACCGGTTCCCGCTCACTGGCTGAGCGTGGTGCGGGCGCAACACCGAGGGTTGCGATCCTGTTGCCGGTCAGTAAAAAAGACAAAAAGAAAAAAAAAAAAAAAAAAAAAAACTACAAGGAAGGGCCGGCCCGGTGTTGTGCGCCTCCTGCCGTGGGTTCAGATCCCATGTGGAGACCGGTTCCCGCTCACTGGCTGAGCGTGGTGCGGGCGCAACACCGAGGGTTGCGATCCTGTTGCCGGTCAGTAAAAAAGACAAAAAGGGAAAAAAAAAAAAAAAAAAAAAAAAAAAAAAAAAAAAAAACTACAAGGAATATGTCATTCTTTTCATATGGAAAGGGAAGATTTTGAGCTAAAATATTAAAAAGTGACTGGATAAG